GAATCACTCAAAGGGCAATGGGGGAAGCAACAATCCACAGATACATGTGTGTTTACTTGCTTTTAATTTTTGAATGTATTGCATGGATCTCAGGTAAATGGAACTTGAGGCACCATGTAGAAACTGAACCTAGACCCGCTTTTTATCCCATTTAATTGCTCTATTATACAACTCAACTCATCTTCATTGAATCTTGTTCCAACTTTTTGAGGGTCAGTTATATAAATAATGTGCAGCCATTGTTTTTTAATTTCTTTATTATACTAAAAAGAAACTAATTTCATAGCTAGGTCATGATTGTCTGATGTGAATAATTCTGGTAATGCTTTTGCAATCGAGCCCTTTCACCATGCATAGACATCTGTGTGAGATTAACTCTTCTTTATCTTTGATGACAGGCCATAATTCATGCAAGCTTGAGTATCTTCTCTGAACCACATTTGTTTGTTTGAGGAGTTTGTGAGGAAATCATCTTCGCCCAACTGTATTACAATTATGAGACTGATAAGTTCTTGATTTCATTACTCTGTAAATTTGGTTTGGTCCTTATCTGGTGGACCTTCTTTGCTAGCAGTAACACCATGATGAAGTATGGATGGTTATTTTATGGTTATGGAGTATGGAAAGATTCTAATTATAATGGTGCCACTACTCTTTTTCTTTTTTATCCCAAGGGGTTGGTGTTCCTACTCGATATATAAGTATGGGCTCCATAGTCTCCAGCATCCCCCTCCCCACTGCCCTAAAATGGCTTGAACTATTGAACTTCCTCATGGATAAGCCATGGGAAAGTTAAGCAGTCACTAAATTTAAGACAATATGATGAAAACCCAATTTATACCATGTGGGTTTGTGTTTGTGCGAGTGAATGACACAATATATGTTATAGTTCACATAATATACAAGCAGTGATAAACCAAAAAGTGACAATAAACAAGTTAAAACGTAAAAAAAGAAAGAAAATAACCCCAAACTATCATATTGGTGGAGGACCATCTGGCCATTTGAATACTGCATGAGGGCCTGCAAATGTGGAGATAGAAGGAAAAGGAAGGAGAGAGAGAGAGAGAGACGCATCAGGCGTTGAACATTAATAGGAGATAAGGAGCTACCATTATCATGTTCATAGCAATTTTAAGTTGCAGTGCTATCTACTCTATTGTTCACGTGCCAGAAGAGTTGTCAATATGACATCAAACCGCCTTCCCCCCAAAATTGGAATTTTATTGTCAAACGGATGTCCTTTTCTTTACAAATAATTTTACACGCTTCCCAATTTCCAATTTTGGGCAAAAGAAAATTAAGAAGACATTTCACTAACTTTAACAAGACCAAAACCAAACGTGACAGCAACTCTCATGATTATATATATTAGTACCAACAATGTTATATTGATCATGTTGATACATTTTTCCAAGCATAACTTGCAATTCTATTGTGCGTTGTTTCTGCTTCTATTTCATCACCAAAGACATCTTTTTATAGATACCAACTGCTTAAATGCTTTGTAGGTTGCTGGTCTATTACACATGCCACTGGGTCTAGTATCTTCGATAGTGATATTTGTGTTAGGTACAACCATATTATCTTATTCAGCAGACCAAGATATGACTAGCCATCCAACAAGTTTTCATGGTACATTAGCTAGATTCTTCCTTTCACCAACAACAAAATTGACATTATCAAAAGGATCATTCATTATACTTTTGATGCATAACTGTTTATACTCTCTCTCTCTCTGTCTCTCAAACAGACACAAACACAATTTTATGGACTTAGTTCTTTTGTTTCACAAAAATCAAATTTGAAAGTATTAAACACCATTTTGGTTTAGGAGAAAGAGGAAAGAAGAAAGATTTCAATGTCTACATTTTGTTTATACTCTCTCTCTCTCTCTCTCTCAAACAGACACAAACACAATTTTATGGACTTAGTTCTTTTGTTTCACAAAAATCAAATTTGAAAGTATTAAACACCATTTTGGTTTAGGAGAAAGAGGAAAGAAGAAAGATTTCAATGTCTACATTTTGTTTATACTCTCTCTCTCTCTCTCTCTCAAACAGACACAAACACAATTTTATGGACTTAGTTCTTTTGTTTCACAAAAATCAAATTTGAAAGTATTAAACACCATTTTGGTTTAGGAGAAAGAGGAAAGAAGAAAGATTTCAATGTCTACATTTTGTTTATACTCTCTCTCTCTCTGTCTCTCAAACAGACACAAACACAATTTTATGGACTTAGTTCTTTTGTTTCACAAAAATCAAATTTGAAAGTATTAAACACCATTTTGGTTTAGGAGAAAGAGGAAAGAAGAAAGATTTCAATGTCTACATTTTGTGTAAGGAAGAGATATCAGATGACTAGGACAGAACATATGCTTTTAAGTTCAACAAAATCTATTTACCTCTGCAATGGGATAATTTTGAAGAGATAATGTAGTGGGGTGGAAGGGTATGAATAAAAACAGAGGCTTGTGTGNTTCTCTCTCTCTCTCTCTCTCAAACAGACACAAACACAATTTTATGGACTTAGTGCTTTTGTTTCACAAAAATCAAATTTGAAAGTATTAAACACCATTTTGGTTTAGGAGAAAGAGGAAAGAAGAAAGATTTCAATGTCTACATTTTGTTTATACTCTCTCTCTCTCCGTCTCTCAAACAGACACAAACACAATTTTATGGACTTAGTTCTTTTGTTTCACAAAAATCAAATTTGAAAGTATTAAACACCATTTTGGTTTAGGAGAAAGAGGAAAGAAGAAAGATTTCAATGTCTACATTTTGTGTAAGGAAGAGATATCAGATGACTAGGACAGAACATATGCTTTTAAGTTCAACAAAATCTATTTACCTCTGCAATGGGATAATTTTGNACCTTCCCCCCAAAATTGGAATTTTATTGTCAAACGGATGTCCTTTTCATTACAAATAATTTTACACGCTTCCCAATTTCCATTTTTGGGCAAAAGAAAATTAAGAAGACATTTCACTAACTTTAACAAGACCAAAACCAAACGTGACAGCAACTCTCATGATTATATATATTAGTACCAACAATGTTATATTGATCATGTTGATACATTTTTCCAAGCATAACTTGCAATTCTATTGTGCGTTGTTTCTGCTTCTATTTCATCACCAAAGACATCTTTTTATAGATACCAACTGCTTAAATGCTCTGTAGGTTGCTGGTCTATTACACATGCCACTGGGTCTAGTATCTTCGATAGTGATATTTGTGTTAGGTACAACCATATTATCTTATTCAGCAGACCAAGATATGACTAGCCATCCAACAAGTTTTCATGGTACATTAGCTAGATTCTTCCTTTCACCAACAACAAAATTGACATTATCAAAAGGATCATTCATTATACTTTTGATGCATAACTGTTTATACTCTCTCTCTCTCTCTCTCTCTCAAACAGACACAAACACAATTTTATGGACTTAGTGCTTTTGTTTCACAAAAATCAAATTTGAAAGTATTAAACACCATTTTGGTTTAGGAGAAAGAGGAAAGAAGAAAGATTTCAATGTCTACATTTTGTGTAAGGAAGAGATATCAGATGACTAGGACAGAACATATGCTTTTAAGTTCAACAAAATCTATTTACCTCTGCAATGGGATAATTTTGAAGAGATAATGTAGTGGGGTGGAAGGGTATGAATAAAAACAGAGGCTTGTGTGAAATTCCGCCTTTGATGTTGCATTTCTTTGCCTCAATTCTTCGTAAAGAAACTCTCCTCTCCTTTTCTCCTATTTGTCAAGGAACCAAAGAGAACAAACAAACCTTGTTCCTAAATACGACTTAGTAAAACAAAGTGTATAAGTCCGATTCTTGTGAAAAAGAATCATTTGATACATAATGAAAATACTGGTCCATGCTAGTGGAACTAGGTAGTTGCAACCTGCTCTGCTAATGCCATCTTTCACATTACCTATGCCAATAAAGAACAATGCTTATGTCATAATTGGATAACCATGTCCAAACACTAGCTTGTGGAATTCTGCTCTCTAGTGCTCTGCACAAGAAAATAGATTAACGCGTGGACACAAAACACTATCATGTAAAACCACAATGGTCCCCCACTTTCACATAATCAACATCAACTATGGTCACTTTAATCATTCTATCAACTTGACCCTTTTNGATTAACGCGTGGACACAAAACACTATCATGTAAAACCACAATGGTCCCGCACTGTCACATAATCAACATCAACTATGGTCACTTTAATCATTCTATCAACTTGACCCTTTTGCCACATCCAATAAAACCCAAAAAAAAAATCACCTTTTTACAGGCTTTTGCTTCAAGAGGCCACCACACATTCACACTGAATACTCTCCCTACAAGAAATGGGGTTTATCATAAATTCCTCCACACCTTCCTCCACAGAAAGAATTTAAGACACCCGTCCCTCATCCTCACCCTTATCTTCTTTTTTTTTTTTCTTTTTTTCACCACTCAAAATCCCTCACCCTTATCCCTCTCCTGCCTTGGGACAACAAACTATTGCCCCTTCCCATAAAAATTGTCCTAAATCTTGAGCTTTCTTTTCCCATGTTGTTCTTAAATGCGTTCCCAGATATCGGATTACCTTCCATTTATTGCCACAGAGGGTTCCATTCAGTGCTCTTAATTTTTTTTCTGTCCAAGTTTTCTTGCCAAGCCACATCATCAAATATAAGACGGAGAGGACAAAAACAAAAGGTGAAATCAGATGAGACTAAAATAAAAGAACCTTTTTGGAACGTGGCTATATAAATAGTAGGACTGGGATAGATTGTGTTTGTATTGTTTTACAGTACTTACTGTGCTTTGTGTGAGTTTGGGGTCTCTCTCTCTCTCTCTCTCTCTCTTCTTTACTTTGTATTGTTTAGGAGTGTTGTTTGGTACTNTTTTTGGAACGTGGCTATATAAATAGTAGGACTGGGATAGATTGTGTTTGTATTGTTTTACAGTACTTAGTGTGCTTTGTGTGAGTTTGGGGTCTCTCTCTCTCTCTCTCTTCTTTACTTTGTATTGTTTAGGAGTGTTGTTTGGTACTGGTAAGGATGAGTTACTTGGGTGTTGGTGTGAGTCCTGGGAATGTTCCAGTGTACCACGGGAGCAATTTAAAGGTTGTTGATAGGAGGGTGAGGCTTGCAGAGTTGGTCTTGAGGTGTGTGATCTGTGGTTTGGCTGTTCTTGCTGCTGTTTTGGTGGGGACTGATACCCAGGTCAAAGAGATCTTCTCAATCCAGAAGAAAGCTAAATTCACAGACATGAAAGCTCTGGTGTAAGATCTTCATCTCTTTCTGTCTCATTTATTTACACAGACAGACACATATACTGATCATCAACTTTGTATTTTCTTCTTCTTCTGCTATTTGTTTTTTTTTTCCTTTTTTTTTGCAGCTTTTTGGTGATAGCCAATGGGTTAGCAGCAGCCTACTCACTGGTCCAAGGGTTGAGATGTGTTGCGGGTGTGATTAGAGGAAGTGTACTCTTCAATAAGCCATTGGCTTGGGCTATTTTCTCTGGTGATCAGGTATTGACTGTTAAAGACTACTTGTTTTACCCTTTTTGTTACCTCGCTTGCTCTGATTAAGGTTACATTTGTGCTTCATTAGTCCTACATTTAACCAGTCTATGCATGTATGTGGACCTATATTATTATGTTTTGGTCAGGGGAGGGGAGGGGTAATGGAATTGGGCTTCTTTTTTTTTTTTTATTTAGTCAGATGAAGGACTTTACCATTTTATTTTCAGTAATTCCAAGCATCAAAAAGATGCCATCCACACCAAAACTCAAGAAATGAGGCCTCATCTGCCTCTTCATTTTCACCTGATAAATGGCCACAGCCTATTTTCTAAATTCTTCCACTCATTTGGAATGAGATTGAGAAAATAAAATAAATTTTCAGTGAGTCCAACGCAAATCATGATTTGAGCAGTTGCGTTTTATCTCAGATCAATTTTTCAGTTAAGTTAGACCAAAGCAGAGAGATCAATTCCCCTTTTATTTAAGATGTCAATGACGTTGGTCACTCAATTCTTTATAGGGATTAAATGCACTTATGTGCCTATAAATGGAAGTTAATACCCATTATGGCATTGTGAATTTTGATTCTATCCCATCTTCGAAGCTCACTGCATGTATGCCAAGTGGGTAATAGTTGAGGAACCATCTTAACTGCAAATCTTTTCGGTTCTGAACAGGTAAGGACTGACTAAGTTGACCCTACTCAGACCCCATCCAACCCAATTACTCTTCTTACCTAACCCTTCTGCTAACCATTTAAAACTTGCAATTATTAGGGCTTTGTACTCTTCAGAATCTTGGTATTTGATAGTGCTTCTTAAAGAATATGTGGGTAGATTTGCTATGGCCTTCTCCTGGGACTACCTTAGTGAAGAAACCTTGCAAAAATCAATTAGGGTTCAAGATAGTTCATGGGCCTAAAGAATTAAAGGTGGCACCAGATAATTCAGAATATTAGCTCAAACAAAAACCAGTTAAATCGTACATTCATTGTCCAGACCATCCAACATATTGGAAGCTCAACTCTTGGCTTGATGGTATGCTAATGTGGGAAGATACTGAGTCCTTGTTTTATGGTGTAAAAATCTAGGTACAAACATTGTGTCTATGGCCTATGGAGCTCTCATTTGGTTGAGAGGCAGTTCATTATGAGTCTGATGTTTTACTCAACAAGTCCAATTGCAACAATGGGCTTATATGAATGGTCGTGTTCTTAATGGTCTGATGCATGTATGTTTAACTCATCTATGCAGCTGATGACATACTTGACATTGGCGGCCGTGGCGGCTGCTGCACAGTCTGCAGTGTTTGCCAAGTTAGGGGAGCCAGAGCTGCAGTGGATGAAGATTTGCAATATGTATGGTAAGTTTTGTAACCAGGTGGGGGAGGGAATAGCCAGTGCACTAATTGTTAGCCTTAGCATGGTGCTCCTTTCTGGTATATCAGCTTTTAGTCTGTTCCGATTGTATGGGAACGATAAAGGCAAGAACAGTGCAAGATGGTAGATTAGATCACTACAAGTTCAACTGAAGCTGCTATCTTCACTGTATCTTAAGCATGAAGATGTTTAACTTAATGGACTATTGAAATATGTGGAAAGAAAGTGGGCTATTAACTTTTGGGTTACAATAAAAAAAAATTCGAGTTTCTAGAGTCCGTTGCTTCCGTATGTTGATGCATCCCAACAACCACAAGCTGCAACTATTGGATATATATATGTTCTTACATTTTATCATGTCAATGCAGCTGCTCATGATCTTAATAAGTCATGTTTTTGTATGACAACATCAGAAGCTTAAGAATCATATTGATTGGCACTCAAAATTGATCTTTTTATGACTGGCACACCTGGAGTTCAATATGGCCACATAAATATTATCAGTTTCACGGGGAACCCTGCCGCAAATTTGTTACCCATATCTATTCTCTCTTCTGTTGTGAATCCTCTTGCCATTGATGGATCTTGTGATATGGATTCTCTCTGTGCTCCTGTATTATTCCCAAGTGTACAGTGAACTTTGAGTACAGGCTTTGTTATCTCTCTCTGTCTTTTATCTATTTCTCTCCCTGATAAATCACCATGAATTCCAAACTCAAGATTGAANGTGTTGGATATGGATTCTCTCTGCGCTCCTGTATTTTTTCCAAGTGTACAGTGAACTTTGAGTACAGGCTTTGTTATCTCTCTCTCTCTTTTATCTATTTCTCTCCCTGATAAATCACCATGAATTCCAAACTCAAGATTGAACAAAACAAATGAAGAGTGGAACCCTCCCTGCAGTGGGTGTTTGAGATACAAGAGCAGCTCCAAACACAATGTGTGCTTCCATATCACACACACACACACAGATATGTGCACTGCATTTGAGATGCACTGTTTCAAAACAAGGATGTCATTGACACTATTGTTTACTTTGGAGCATCTCAACTTGGTATGTCCTCCACAACCCTTGTGGCACAACTTTTGATCACTAGTACTGTTGTACACGTCTAAAACTAAGAAGAAAATGACAGATGATGTATCATTAACCCACCCAGGGTATCTTGCAGTTAATTTTTTTACTCAATTCTCAGAAACAGAGCTGTAAAAGAAAGGAAGTGAAGGAGAAAGGAAAGCCAAAAGAACAAAAGGAAATAAAGAATTCCATAGCTAAACTTGCTATATGAGTAATGCTTAAAAGCCAGTGTTTTCTACGGGGTCATAATGATACGATTTCTCCAGTCTTTCGTTCCAAAACAAAAGAAACATTAATCCATGCAAAAATGCCACGGCCACATCATTATTGTGGTGAAAAGTTTTTTTTTGGTCAGATTGCAGTGAAAAATTAGAGAAATGCTATTAAAATCTAATTTATTAATTTTATTTGTTGACCAAATTTATTATCATCTTTAAATTGACTGAAAACAGTAACATGCGAGATAGGAGGAGAAGAAGAAGTGAGGTTGTGTAGCTCACGAATTTATGACTGTTAGGTCATAGGTGGAATTAGTCCTTAGAGGCGAGAAAATATTGAATGTAATTGTTATGTTACCTTCATGATGTAATTATTTACTAATAAATAAACAAATAAATAATTTTATATAATATAATATTGATGTGATAGAACCATTGCCATTACACTTATTATTTAGACTGTTGACCGTGGCTGCCACGTGCTTGACAAAGCCACAAAATTTACGTCTCGGGTTCAAAAACCTGCAATTCCACTTGACTTTTGAGTTTAGACAAATCTCAGAATTTTAATTTGTATATTCAAAATTTAAAAATACTAATTTATACTCTAAAATATATAAATATGTATCGATGTGTATCTGAGACTACTTGCAATCTATTTTGCTGTCAAAATAAATTTGGATAAATTATAAATTATACCCCTCAAAATTTAAATATTTTACATTTATGATCTAAAAATAATTTCATCCATTAATGCTCGTTAAATAGTTGTCAATTGTATTGTATCATAACATTTTCATGTTGTGCTCAAGACAATAAAAACATATTGTTAACAGAAAATAGTTTTTCATGTTGAATCAATTTTTATTTTTTTTGGGTCAAGTGTTGAATCAATTGAGTTGTGTTTTATATTTCACATTTACGACAATTCATAATACTATTTAATATTTTTTTAAAATTAAAAAATACCTTTTTTTTGTCTATAATACTTGTTAAATAATTATTTTTTATCTACAGTTGTGTTATTCGTATTTAATTTTAATTTAATCGAACAATTAAAATATTTATGTCTCATTATACATACCATATAATTGAGAGCAATTTAACAAGAATTAATAGATAACATTGTTTTTGAATTATAAATATAAAATATTTAAAATTAATCTAAATTTTTTAAACGAAAAAATGGACAGAGCTAGACTAGGGGCATATTAACATGAATTTATATCTCGAATATAAATTAATATTTTTAAACTTTAAAAGGCTAAATTAAAATCTAAGTTGAGATTAGTCCTCGGAGTTTCTACATACCTCACACGTATCTTTGGCTGTGTGGGACTGGTTAAACAATCCTGGGGTTGCTTGCCTGGGGGTGATCTTGTAGTTGTTGAGTTTTCTCACGCGCAGCGAAGCCCTTCACCGCCTACCATCGTCCCGAATACGACCCTCACCCTCTCTTCTTGATTTCCATTCAAAAAGCCCCATAAATTGGTAATACCCAGCAATTCCGTTATCCATCTTCAATTCACTATCAAAATCGACCCTTTCCGAATAAATTATTGTATTTATCCTTTATACATGAACGCAAAGATTTCTGTTTTTTCGTTGGAACTCATACATACATAAACAGAGAGAGATAGGGATGTCAGAGAAATTCTCGGCAACGCTGAGACTCGGGGACCTGAATGATTACATATCTCCGTCACAGGGCTGCGTTGTTTCTCTCAAGGCTAGCTCCACAAGGCAAGACAAATCACAGGTAACAATTATTTCTTATTAGGGTTTCTTATGTAGATACCTCGTGTTCACTGTCAAGTGTCAACTGTGGAAAGCATTTGTTTCTGTTTAATTGATCTATTCTCTACTTCATCTCCAACTGTGACGTAAAATTGCCGATGCAATTTATTTAGGGATTTACCTTCTCTTCTGTAAAAACGATGATTATATAGCTTTCCTGCTGATTTTATAACTGTTATCACTTTAGGCGCACCTTTTTTTTAGCAATTCACAAGTTTTTTTTTTTTGGGTCTTTCTTAAGAGCAAATGTTATATAATACCTTATGAAGTTACCACCTTTTGTGGACCATTCTGATTAAACTTGGCTCTGTTATATTCTGTAATGATGATGTTTGTTTGTCTTAAACAGAACCTTGAGAAAGTTGGGACTGCCACTAAACCACTGCAAACAGAACCCGTAAAAATTTCACTAAAGGACTGCTTGGCATGCAGGTTCTCTCCCCCCTCCCTCCCTCTCTCTCTCTCTCTCTCACACACACACACACGGGTTGACAATGTGTGTAGTCTTATAACTACACTATTAGAAATTTAGATTGAGATGTTTTACATGTCAAACATATATGTGCTTCAACATTGTTCTGAGGAGTTTTCAAATTCAAGTTGAGTTGCTTATCAGAATGGAAATTTTTTTTTGTCTCAACTCTTAGTTATATGTTTTGTGTTAATCTCTTGATTTTTGAAACAATTAAAAGCCATATAATATGTACTATTTCTTCTAACCGTGCAGTGGGTGCATAACTTCAGCAGAGACTGTTATGCTTGAGAAGCAGAGCTTGGATGAGTTCCTTTCTAATATTGATAGGGGGAAGGCCGTTATTGTCTCACTCTCTCCTCAGTCTAGGGCTGCACTTGCGGTTCATTTTGGCCTTTCTCCAGTTCAGGTAAGTTATATTGGATTTTACATCTGTTCTGTTTTCACTACTTTAGATAGCTTATGATGGACAGTTAAACGAAATTAAGGAAGATAACCTGAAAATTTGTGCATTATCTTAGAATTTTGATCATCTTTAGTTCACAATTAGAATATATCTTGGACACAATTGGTATGTTTTGCTTGTGCCAGAGCCGCTCTATGCATGCATGTTCTCATGGTGCTATTTCTATTCCAGGTTTTCAGGAAGCTCACAACATTTTTCAAGTCCTTGGGAGTCAAGGCTCTATTTGATACCAGCTGTAGTAGAGACCTCTCACTTATTGAATCTTGTAATGAATTTATAGCACGTTATAAAATAAGCCAATCAACTGGTGATGAGAAATCTAAACAATCCCTACCCATGATTGCCTCTGCTTGTCCAGGTATTTACATCTCTCTCTCTCTCTCTCTCTCTCTCTCTCTCTCTTTTTCTTTTTTTGGCAGTGGTCTCACAGTTACCTCCCCCCCCCCCCCTCTCTCTCTCCCCTTTTCCTGTGGAGGGAGGAGGTAAAAACACATGAGAACACACAGTTGCACACGGACACAACACATGATTTTCATATTTGTAAAGGGCCTTATGATATGTTATACAACATTTCTTATATTTAACAACAATTGCAGGTTGGATATGCTATGCTGAGAAAACTCTTGGATCCTATATTCTTCCTTATATATCCTCAGTGAAGAGCCCCCAGCAAACTATTGGAGCTATCATTAAGAATCACATTTGCCAAAACTTGTGTCTTAGGTATTTATCCACTGCCTGCTCATTTCAGTTAATCCATAGTGTATGTAGATTATGGTGTGTGGCATGGTTTATTTGAGTAGTTATGCTTGTTGGTGGATAGGAGCCAGCTAATAGTTTATGGCGCTCCTTAATAGTTTATGTCAATCGAGGTTTTAAGTTGGTTAAAATTTCATATTCATGTCCAACACCTGTTGAGCTGACACTTCTTTGACACTCCCCCAATCACGTTGGACGCTGTTTCTTCTCATCAGAAGTTTGTTCAGAAGAAAATAAACAATGTACATGTGGTGAAACAAGTTAAGCATGTAATGAACACCTATGGAAAATAGAGAAGTTGTGAAAAAAGAGCCTGTGATGGAATGCTGGAGTCAGTTTCTGGCGTATGGGGGTTCTGCTATTTAGAGATTGTGTTTGACGTGTTATTCAATACTAGTTATGATGATATGGCTTGAAGTGGATCATTTAAATTGTACACACCAGTTTGTTGAAACGTGACTGGCTTTTTTCACTTCTGGATCATGAGCTTATCCATTAATCGAGGCTTAAGCTTTAGCTAATAGCTTACGGTGTCTCATATTTCAGTACATTCATACAGAGGTGAGAAAGTATTGTAGTTTTTGTAAGTGATTTTAATCCTATTCTTGAATTACGACTGCTGGACAGGCCAGACGAGGTCTACCATGTAACTGTGATGCCTTGTTATGACAAGAAGCTTGAGGCTGCCAGGGATGACTTTGTGTTTCAACTAGAATCTCCAGGTGATACTCATGGAAATACTGGTCTAGAGATTACAGAAGTTGACTCTGTGTTGACTACTGGAGAGGTTTTAGATTTGATACAGGTAAACACCAATATTTTCTGTATGTGATAATCTTGTGGTGTCATTGTGATTTAAAACATACGAGTATAACATGGGGAGGAATAATCTTGCCTATGCTCTTATGCTTTCATTTATCTTTTTTTTATGTTCATTTAAATGTTGCAGTCAAAATCAGTAGATTTTAAAGCTTTGGAAGAGTCTTCTCTGGATAAATTGTAAGCTCAGCATATCTACTTTCCTCCAATGATAATTGAGTTGCTTTGACAAATGAAATGTCTGTTGTTTTTCACAGGCTGGTTAACGTTAATGAAGAGGGACATTTTTATGGGGTTCATGGAAGTTCTGGAGGATATGCAGACACTATATTTCGGTATGCAGCTAAATTCCTTTTTGGGAAAGAAATTAAAGGCCCTCTGGACTTCAAGATTATAAGGAATTCAGATTTTCGAGAATTGAGCTTAGAGGTAAGTTTTGTTCATCTTTATCTTGTTCCCATGATTTGTAAACATAGGAGGAAGGTACTCATCAGATTTTGGAAACTGTTGAGCTGTAGAAATGCAATTCTCCTATGTAAGCAGCAGGAGACAGGCACTATAGTTTGNATAACAGAGCTGTAAAGGATAGGAAGTGAAGGAGAAAGGAAAGCCAAAAGAACAAAAGGAAATAAAGAATTCCATAGCTAAACTTGCTATATGAGTAATGCTTAAAAGCCAGTGTTTTCTACGGGGTCATAATGATACGATTTCTCCAGTCTTTCGTTCCAAAACAAAAGAAACATTAATCCATGCAAAAATGCCACGGCCACATCATTATTGTGGTGAAAAGTTTTTTTTTGGTCAGATTGCAGTGAAAAATTAGAGAAATGCTATTAAAATTTAATTTATTAATTTTATTTGTTGACCTAATTTATTATCATCTTTAGATTGACCGAAGACGGTAACATGCGAGATAGGAGGAGAAGAAGAAGTGAGGATGTGTAGCTCACGAATTTATGACTGTTAGGTCATAGGGTACGAATTTATGACTGTTAGGTCATAGGTGGAATTAGCCCTTAGAGACGAGAAAATATTGGATGTAATTGTTATGTAATTATTTACTAATAAATAAATAAATAAATAATTTTATATAATATAATATTGATGTGATAGAACCATTGCCATTACACTTATTATTTAGACTGTTGACCGTGGCTGCCACGTGCTTGACAAAGCCCACAAAATTTACGTCTCGGGTTCACAAACCTGCAATTCCACTTGACTTTTGAGTTTAGACAAATCTCAGAATTTTAATTTGTATATTCAAAATTTAAAAATACTAATTTATACTCTAAAATATATAAATATGTATCGATGTGTATTTGAGACTACTTGCAATCTGTTTTGCTGTCAAAAAAATTTTGGATAAATTATAAATTATACCCCTCAAAATTTAAATATTTTACATTTATGATCTAAAAATAATTTTATCCATTAATGCTCGTTAAATAGTTGTCAATTGTATTGTATCATAACATTTTCGTGTTGTGTTCAAGACAATAAAAACATATTGTTAACATAAAATAGTTTTTCATGTTGAATCAATTTTTTTTTTTTTTTGGTCAAGTGTTGAATCAATTGAGTTGTATCTTATATTTCACATTTACGACAATTCATAATACTATTTAATATTTTTTTAAAATTAAAAAATACCATTTTTTGTCTATAATACTTGTTAAATAATTATTTTTTATCTACAGTTGTGTTATTCGTATTTAATTTTAATTTAATCGAACAATTAAAATATTTATGTCTCATTATAGATACCATATAATTGAGAGCAATTTAACAAGAATTAATAGATAACATTGTTTTTGAATCATAAATATAAAATATTTAAAATTAATCTAAATTTTTTAAACGAAAAAATGGACAGAGCTAGATTAGGTGCATATTAACATGAATTTATATCTCGAATATAAATTAATATTTTTAAACTTTAAAAGGATAAATTAAAATCTAAGTTGAGATTAGTCCTCGGAGTTTCTACATACCTCTCACGTATCTTTGGCTGTGTGGGACTGGTTAAACAATCCTGGGGTTGCTTGCCTGGGGGTGATCTTGTAGTTGTTGAATTTTCTCACGCGCAGCGAAGCCCTTCACCGCCTACCATCGTCCCGAATACGACCCTCACCCTCTCTTCTTGATTTCCATTCAAAAAGCCCCATAAATTGGTAATACCCAGCAATTCCGTTATCCATCTTCAATTCACTATCAAAATCGACCCTTTCCGAATAAATTATTGTATTTATCCTTTATACATGAACGCAAAGATTTCTGTTTTTTCGTTGGAACTCATACATACATAAACAGAGAGAGATAGGGATGTCAGAGAAATTCTCGGCAACGCTGAGACTCGGGGACCTGAATGATTACATATCTCCGTCACAGGGCTGCGTTGTTTCTCTCAAGGCTAGCTCCACAAGGCAAGACAAATCACAGGTAACAATTATTTCTTATTAGGGTTTCTTATGTAGATACCTCGTGTTCACTGTCAAGTGTCAACTGTGGAAAGCATTTGTTTCTGTTTAATTGATCTATTCTCTACTTCATCTCCAACTGTGACGTAAAATTGCCGATGCAATTTATTTAGGGATTTACCTTCTCTTCTGTAAAAACGATGATTATATAGCTTTCCTGCTGATTTTATAACTGTTATCACTTTAGGCGCACCTTTTTTTTAGCAATTCACAAGTTTTTTTTTTTTGGGTCTTTCTTAAGAGCAAATGTTATATAATACCTTATGAAGTTACCACCTTTTGTGGACCATTCTGATTAAACTTGGCTCTGTTATATTCTGTAATGATGATGTTTGTTTGTCTTAAACAGAACCTTGAGAAAGTTGGGACTGCCACTAAACCACTGCAAACAGAACCCGTAAAAATTTCACTAAAGGACTGCTTGGCATGCAGGTTCTCTCCCCCCTCCCTCCCTCTCTCTCTCTCTCTCACACACACACACACACGGGTTGACAATGTGTGTAGTCTTATAACTACACTATTAGAAATTTAGATTGAGATGTTTTACATGTCAAACATATATGTGCTTCAACATTGTTCTGAGGAGTTTTCAAATTCAAGTTGAGTTGCTTATCAGAATGGAAATTTTTTTTTGTCTCAACTCTTAGTTATATGTTTTGTGTTAATCTCTTGATTTTTGAAACAATTAAAAGCCATATAATATGTACTATTTCTTCTAACCGTGCAGTGGGTGCATAACTTCAGCAGAGACTGTTATGCTTGAGAAGCAGAGCTTGGATGAGTTCCTTTCTAATATTGATAGGGGGAAGGCCGTTATTGTCTCACTCTCTCCTCAGTCTAGGGCTGCACTTGCGGTTCATTTTGGCCTTTCTCCAGTTCAGGTAAGTTATATTGGATTTTACATCTGTTCTGTTTTCACTACTTTAGATAGCTTATGATGGACAGTTAAACGAAATTAAGGAAGATAACCTGAAAATTTGTGCATTATCTTAGAATTTTGATCATCTTTAGTTCACAATTAGAATATATCTTGGACACAATTGGTATGTTTTGCTTGTGCCAGAGCCGCTCTATGCATGCATGTTCTCATGGTGCTATTTCTATTCCAGGTTTTCAGGAAGCTCACAACATTTTTCAAGTCCTTGGGAGTCAAGGCTCTATTTGATACCAGCTGTAGTAGAGACCTCTCACTTATTGAATCTTGTAATGAATTTATAGCACGTTATAAAATAAGCCAATCAACTGGTGATGAGAAATCTAAACAATCCCTACCCATGATTGCCTCTGCTTGTCCAGGTATTTACATCTCTCTCTCTCTCTCTCTCTCTCTCTCTCTCTCTTTTTCTTTTTTTGGCAGTGGTCTCACAGTTACCTCCCCCCCCCCCCCTCTCTCTCTCCCCTTTTCCTGTGGAGGGAGGAGGTAAAAACACATGAGAACACACAGTTGCACACGGACACAACACATGATTTTCATATTTGTAAAGGGCCTTATGATATGTTATACAACATTTCTTATATTTAACAACAATTGCAGGTTGGATATGCTATGCTGAGAAAACTCTTGGATCCTATATTCTTCCTTATATATCCTCAGTGAAGAGCCCCCAGCAAACTATTGGAGCTATCATTAAGAATCACATTTGTCAAAACTTGTGTCTTAGGTATTTATCCACTGCCTGCTCATTTCAGTTAATCCATAGTGTATGTAGATTATGGTGTGTGGCATGGTTTATTTGAGTAGTTATGCTTGTTGGTGGATAGGAGCCAGCTAATAGTTTATGGCGCTCCTTAATAGTTTATGTCAATCGAGGTTTTAAGTTGGTTAAAATTTCATATTCATGTCCAACACCTGTTGAGCTGACACTTCTTTGACACTCCCCCAATCACGTTGGACGCTGTTTCTTCTCATCAGAAGTTTGTTCAGAAGAAAATAAACAATGTACATGTGGTGAAACAAGTTAAGCATGTAATGAACACCTATGGAAAATAGAGAAGTTGTGAAAAAAGAGCCTGTGATGGAATGCTGGAGTCAGTTTCTGGCGTATGGGGGTTCTGCTATTTAGAGATTGTGTTTGACGTGTTATTCAATACTAGTTATGATGATATGGCTTGAAGTGGATCATTTAAATTGTACACACCAGTTTGTTGAAACGTGACTGGCTTTTTTCACTTCTGGATCATGAGCTTATCCATTAATCGAGGCTTAAGCTTTAGCTAATAGCTTACGGTGTCTCATATTTCAGTACATTCATACAGAGGTGAGAAAGTATTGTAGTTTTTGTAAGTGATTTTAATCCTATTCTTGAATTACGACTGCTGGACAGGCCAGACGAGGTCTACCATGTAACTGTGATGCCTTGTTATGACAAGAAGCTTGAGGCTGCCAGGGATGACTTTGTGTTTCAACTAGAATCTCCAGGTGATACTCATGGAAATACTGGTCTAGAGATTACAGAAGTTGACTCTGTGTTGACTACTGGAGAGGTTTTAGATTTGATACAGGTAAACACCAATATTTTCTGTATGTGATAATCTTGTGGTGTCATTGTGATTTAAAACATACGAGTATAACATGGGGAGGAATAATCTTGCCTATGCTCTTATGCTTTCATTTATCTTTTTTTTATGTTCATTTAAATGTTGCAGTCAAAATCAGTAGATTTTAAAGCTTTGGAAGAGTCTTCTCTGGATAAATTGTAAGCTCAGCATATCTACTTTCCTCCAATGATAATTGAGTTGCTTTGACAAATGAAATGTCTGTTGTTTTTCACAGGCTGGTTAACGTTAATGAAGAGGGACATTTTTATGGGGTTCATGGAAGTTCTGGAGGATATGCAGACACTATATTTCGGTATGCAGCTAAATTCCTTTTTGGGAAAGAAATTAAAGGCCCTCTGGACTTCAAGATTATAAGGAATTCAGATTTTCGAGAATTGAGCTTAGAGGTAAGTTTTGTTCATCTTTATCTTGTTCCCATGATTTGTAAACATAGGAGGAAGGTACTCATCAGATTTTGGAAACTGTATAGCTGTAGAAATGCAATTCTCCTATGTAAGCAGCAGGAGACAGGCACTATAGTTTGTGGAACTAGCTGATCTTTTTTCTTAAGAGAATCAGACTATCTTCTGGTTCATTTTACCTGATTTGTGACGTAATAGCGATTATATTTCAACATTCAGTTAGTATGATTTTTTTATGATGAGCCCTCCACTGTGTGGACTTTTTTGTGGGCTTCTATTGTCTTATTTTTTTTCCTTTGAAGGTCTCACTTTTGGGATCCCCAAGTGATGATTTGCTCTTCTTATGTGAAGTCTATGTTGCCCTATTGCCTTGAGTTGAGTTGTGTTTGCTGTGGCTGTGCATGGATATATACAGATTTATTGTACTCTCCTGTCAATGCAGGTTGAGGGTAAAATTGTCTTAAGGTTTGCACTTTGTTATGGATTTCGGAATCTGCAGAACGTTGTTAGGAAAATCAAAATTGGGAAATGTGAATACCATTTTTTGGAGATCATGGCATGCCCTTCAGGTCTCGTGCTTATGTAATTTATATGTTACAGTTGTCGTTCAATTTGTAGTATTAGCCTGCTGTTTGTAGCTCTATGATTTGCCTCTCTTTTGATTAACAGGGTGCTTGAATGGTGGAGGTCAGATCAAGCCAAAGCTTGGGCAATCTGTCAAGGACTTAATTCAATNATATGCATATGATTTGCCTCTCTTTTGATTAACAGGGTGCTTGAATGGTGGAGGTCAGATCAAGCCAAAGCTTGGGCAATCTGTCAAGGACTTAATTCAATCATTAGAAATTGCTTATACGGAAAACGTAAGTGTGTTTGGCTGGAGTTCGGTGTTTGGGCTTCCCTAGGATTTGGTACTAGAATANTTGAGACTACTTGCAATCTGTTTTGCTGTCAAAAAAATTTTGGATAAATTATAAATTATACCCCTCAAAATTTAAATATTTTACATTTATGATCTAAAAATAATTTTATCCATTAATGCTCGTTAAATAGTTGTCAACTGTATTGTATCATAACATTTTCGTGTTGTGTTCAAGACAATAAAAACATATTGTTAACATAAAATAGTTTTTCATGTTGAATCAATTTTTTTTTTTTTTTGGTCAAGTGTTGAATCAATTGAGTTGTATCTTATATTTCACATTTACGACAATTCATAATACTATTTAATATTTTTTTAAAATTAAAAAATACCATTTTTTGTCTATAATACTTGTTAAATAATTATTTTTTATCTACAGTTGTGTTATTCGTATTTAATTTTAATTTAATCGAACAATTAAAATATTTATGTCTCATTATAGATACCATATAATTGAGAGCAATTTAACAAGAATTAATAGATAACATTGTTTTTGAATCATAAATATAAAATATTTAAAATTAATCTAAATTTTTTAAACGAAAAAATGGACAGAGCTAGATTAGGTGCATATTAACATGAATTTATATCTCGAATATAAATTAATATTTTTAAACTTTAAAAGGATAAATTAAAATCTAAGTTGAGATTAGTCCTCGGAGTTTCTACATACCTCTCACGTATCTTTGGCTGTGTGGGACTGGTTAAACAATCCTGGGGTTGCTTGCCTGGGGGTGATCTTGTAGTTGTTGAATTTTCTCACGCGCAGCGAAGCCCTTCACCGCCTACCATCGTCCCGAATACGACCCTCACCCTCTCTTCTTGATTTCCATTCAAAAAGCCCCATAAATTGGTAATACCCAGCAATTCCGTTATCCATCTTCAATTCACTATCAAAATCGACCCTTTCCGAATAAATTATTGTATTTATCCTTTATACATGAACGCAAAGATTTCTGTTTTTTCGTTGGAACTCATACATACATAAACAGAGAGAGATAGGGATGTCAGAGAAATTCTCGGCAACGCTGAGACTCGGGGACCTGAATGATTACATATCTCCGTCACAGGGCTGCGTTGTTTCTCTCAAGGCTAGCTCCACAAGGCAAGACAAATCACAGGTAACAATTATTTCTTATTAGGGTTTCTTATGTAGATACCTCGTGTTCACTGTCAAGTGTCAACTGTGGAAAGCATTTGTTTCTGTTTAATTGATCTATTCTCTACTTCATCTCCAACTGTGACGTAAAATTGCCGATGCAATTTATTTAGGGATTTACCTTCTCTTCTGTAAAAACGATGATTATATAGCTTTCCTGCTGTTTTTATAACTGTTATCACTTTAGGCGCACCTTTTTTTAGCAATTCACAAGTTTTTTTTTTTGGGTCTTTCTTAAGAGCAAATGTTATATAATACCTTATGAAGTTACCACCTTTTGTGGACCATTCTGATTAAACTTGGCTCTGTTATATTCTGTAATGATGATGTTTGTTTGTCTTAAACAGAACCTTGAGAAAGTTGGGACTGCCACTAAACCACTGCAAACAGAACCCGTAAAAATTTCACTAAAGGACTGCTTGGCATGCAGGTTCTCTCCCCCCTCCCTCCCTCTCTCTCTCTCTCTCACACACACACACACACGGGTTGACAATGTGTGTAGTCTTATAACTACACTATTAGAAATTTAGATTGAGATGTTTTACATGTCAAACATATATGTGCTTCAACATTGTTCTGAGGAGTTTTCAAATTCAAGTTGAGTTGCTTATCAGAATGGAAATTTTTTTTTGTCTCAACTCTTAGTTATATGTTTTGTGTTAATCTCTTGATTTTTGAAACAAATAAAAGCCATATAATATGTACTATTTCTTCTAACCGTGCAGTGGGTGCATAACTTCAGCAGAGACTGTTATGCTTGAGAAGCAGAGCTTGGATGAGTTCCTTTCTAATATTGATAGGGGGAAGGCCGTTATTGTCTCACTCTCTCCTCAGTCTAGGGCTGCACTTGCGGTTCATTTTGGCCTTTCTCCAGTTCAGGTAAGTTATATTGGATTTTACATCTGTTCTGTTTTCACTACTTTAGATAGCTTATGATGGACAGTTAAACGAAATTAAGGAAGATAACCTGAAAATTTGTGCATTATCTTAGAATTTTGATCATCTTTAGTTCACAATTAGAATATATCTTGGACACAATTGGTATGTTTTGCTTGTGCCAGAGCCGCTCTATGCATGCATGTTCTCATGGTGCTATTTCTATTCCAGGTTTTCAGGAAGCTCACAACATTTTTCAAGTCCTTGGGAGTCAAGGCTCTATTTGATACCAGCTGTAGTAGAGACCTCTCACTTATTGAATCTTGTAATGAATTTATAGCACGTTATAAAATAAGCCAATCAACTGGTGATGAGAAATCTAAACAATCCCTACCCATGATTGCCTCTGCTTGTCCAGGTATTTACATCTCTCTCTCTCTCTCTCTCTCTCTCTCTCTCTCTTTTTCTTTTTTTGGCAGTGGTCTCACAGTTACCTCCCCCCCCCCCCCTCCCTCTCTCCCCTTTTCCTGTGGAGGGAGGAGGTAAAAACACATGAGAACACACAGTTGCACACGGACACAACACATGATTTTCATATTTGTAAAGGGCCTTATGATATGTTATACAACATTTCTTATATTTAACAACAATTGCAGGTTGGATATGCTATGCTGAGAAAACTCTTGGATCCTATATTCTTCCTTATATATCCTCAGTGAAGAGCCCCCAGCAAACTATTGGAGCTATCATTAAGAATCACATTTGTCAAAACTTGTGTCTTAGGTATTTATCCACTGCCTGCTCATTTCAGTTAATCCATAGTGTATGTAGATTATGGTGTGTGGCATGGTTTATTTGAGTAGTTATGCTTGTTGGTGGATAGGAGCCAGCTAATAGTTTATGGCGCTCCTTAATAGTTTATGTCAATCGAGGTTTTAAGTTGGTTAAAATTTCATATTCATGTCCAACACCTGTTGAGCTGACACTTCTTTGACACTCCCCCAATCACGTTGGACGCTGTTTCTTCTCATCAGAAGTTTGTTCAGAAGAAAATAAACAATGTACATGTGGTGAAACAAGTTAAGCATGTAATGAACACCTATGGAAAATAGAGAAGTTGTGAAAAAAGAGCCTGTGATGGAATGCTGGAGTCAGTTTCTGGCGTATGGGGGTTCTGCTATTTAGAGATTGTGTTTGACGTGTTATTCAATACTAGTTATGATGATATGGCTTGAAGTGGATCATTTAAATTGTACACACCAGTTTGTTGAAACGTGACTGGCTTTTTTCACTTCTGGATCATGAGCTTATCCATTAATCGAGGCTTAAGCTTTAGCTAATAGCTTACGGTGTCTCATATTTCAGTACATTCATACAGAGGTGAGAAAGTATTGTAGTTTTTGTAAGTGATTTTAATCCTATTCTTGAATTACGACTGCTGGACAGGCCAGACGAGGTCTACCATGTAACTGTGATGCCTTGTTATGACAAGAAGCTTGAGGCTGCCAGGGATGACTTTGTGTTTCAACTAGAATCTCCAGGTGATACTCATGGAAATACTGGTCTAGAGATTACAGAAGTTGACTCTGTGTTGACTACTGGAGAGGTTTTAGATTTGATACAGGTAAACACCAATATTTTCTGTATGTGATAATCTTGTGGTGTCATTGTGATTTAAAACATACGAGTATAACATGGGGAGGAATAATCTTGCCTATGCTCTTATGCTTTCATTTATCTTTTTTTTATGTTCATTTAAATGTTGCAGTCAAAATCAGTAGATTTTAAAGCTTTGGAAGAGTCTTCTCTGGATAAATTGTAAGCTCAGCATATCTACTTTCCTCCAATGATAATTGAGTTGCTTTGACAAATGAAATGTCTGTTGTTTTTCACAGGCTGGTTAACGTTAATGAAGAGGGACATTTTTATGGGGTTCATGGAAGTTCTGGAGGATATGCAGACACTATATTTCGGTATGCAGCTAAATTCCTTTTTGGGAAAGAAATTAAAGGCCCTCTGGACTTCAAGATTATAAGGAATTCAGATTTTCGAGAATTGAGCTTAGAGGTAAGTTTTGTTCATCTTTATCTTGTTCCCATGATTTGTAAACATAGGAGGAAGGTACTCATCAGATTTTGGAAACTGTTGAGCTGTAGAAATGCAATTCTCCTATGTAAGCAGCAGGAGACAGGCACTATAGTTTGTGGAACTAGCTGATCATTTTTCTTAAGAGAATCAGACTATCTTCTGGTTCATTTTACCTGATTTGTGACGTAATAGCGATTATATTTCAACATTCAGTTAGTATGATTTTTTTATGATGAGCCCTCCACTGTGTGGACTTTTTTGTGGGCTTCTATTGTCTTATTTTTTTTCCTTTGAAGGTCTCACTTTTGGGATCCCCAAGTGATGATTTGCTCTTCTTATGTGAAGTCTATGTTGCCCTATTGCCTTGAGTTGAGTTGTGTTTGCTGTGGCTGTGCATTGGATATATACAGATTTATTGTACTCTCCTGTCAATGCAGGTTGAGGGTAAAATTGTCTTAAGGTTTGCACTTTGTTATGGATTTCGGAATCTGCAGAACGTTGTTAGGAAAATCAAAATTGGGAAATGTGAATACCATTTTTTGGAGATCATGGCATGCCCTTCAGGTCTCGTGCTTATGTAATTTATATGTTACAGTTGTCGTTCAATTTGTAGTATTAGCCTGCTGTTTGTAGCTCTAATATGCATATGATTTGCCTCTCTTTTGATTAACAGGGTGCTTGAATGGTGGAGGTCAGATCAAGCCAAAGCTTGGGCAATCTGTCAAGGACTTAATTCAATCATTAGAAATTGCTTATACGGAAAACGTAAGTGTGTTTGGCTGGAGTTCGGTGTTTGGGCTTCCCTAGGATTTGGTACTAGAATATCTTTATCATCTTTTTGGGTTCTGCTGCTACTAAAATCGTATGCTGAAGTTGCATGTCCTTCCATCATGTATGGCTGTTCAAAGCTTTAAGCCTGAACACACAGCCGGACAAGCAACCCCAAACTTGGAGTACAGAAGCAAGAACATAAAATTACTTACGATGCTTTAAAAATTGTAATGAAGTCATTGCAACTGATATATGGATCTGATTTAACTGACAGGCTTACAATATACACCAAAGCTCTGCCTCTTTTGCTTTTTTTTCTAGAGCTGCGCCTTTAAACCTCTTGTGCTCACATATATTAGAAGCCATGGACTTGAATGTAATGTCTTATTGGTTACTCTTCTTTAATTTGCAGGTTTTGGTAGCTGATCCCTTTGAAAATCCCATCATAAAAGGCTTATATGCTGCCTGGCTTGAGCAACCTGGTTCAGAAAAAGCCAAAAAGCACATGCACACAGAGTACCATCCCTTGGTAAAAAGTATTACTTCTCAGTTGCAGAACTGGTGAGAAATGCTGTCTCTGCTTCCGGCCTCTACACAATCGTGTTTTGGATCAACATCCACTCAGAAGAACTCTTGTTATTTCTGGCATGAGGCATCATCTATCCTAATGCTTCCTCTTGGATGTGGGATCAGGCAGCTCAATTTTGGTAGAGATAATCCGTCCAGGCACTTCTTCAGTACTATATATACCTTGTCTTTTCATCCTTTTTTTTTCACTGGCAGAAAGATATATATATTGCAAGTCAAATTATATATTTGTGCAGTTCACTTTTTTCTCGTGCGCCAGGGTAGGTAGTAATAGGTCCACGGAGATCCCTGCATGTACTGGCAGTTTTTTTTACTCCTTCCTTCTCTAATATTTTTTTTGGGGTAAGATTTCTAATACTGTATATTCAAATTCTGAAAAAATAGCTATTCCCTGTTACCGTATAAAAGGTTTAGATTCTTGACAGCTAAACGTTGTACTTGATTTTGTAATATGGCAGAAAAGAAGTTCAGCAATCTTGGCTATTTGTCCTGTGATTGTAATCTTGGTGTTTTGCCATTTTCTGTTCATCTGCTCTGCCTTTTTGTTCTGTCAAAAATTTTCACTACAGTTGGGATGATCAAGTGCTGGAAGGGTCAATTCATGCTAACATTCCAATCCAGCTGAGGGCTTGCTTGACCACAGATATCTGATGAGTGTGTGTGTGTACTTGAATGAGCATGTTTGACACTTTTAGGATATCCCAAGTGATTACCATATTTTATTTACAGAAGTTGGTTTTGGTTCTCCTAATGAGGCGNGATATATGAGAGAGGAGAAATTATTGTGTGCACATTGTTTGGGTTAGATGCAACTATGGTATTTTTTGTATGAATTCCTCAAGTTCACAACCAGTTTAGCATGGAAGTTCTCTTCCATTTCTATGAGCTCGGAAAAGCAGATGATAGAGCTTGACATTGTGCTCAAGAGCTTTTAGAGTGAAATGAGCCTATGATTTGAGTGGAGGCAGAGGTTGGTATCAGAATCTGGCTTGAGAAGCCGTTTATCGGGGACAAAAATAGGTTGGCCACTTGGCATTGAAATTGAATGAGCATGTTTGACACTTTTAGGATATCCTAAGTGATTACCATATTTTATTTACAGAAGTTGGTTTTGGTTCTCCTAATGAGGCTGCTAAGTTTTTACCTTATATAGATTTTGACCAACAAAAACTCCAGAGAAGTGTTTCTNCTTGAATGAGCATGTTTGACACTTTTAGGATATCCCAAGTGATTACCATATTTTATTTACAGAAGTTGGTTTTGGTTCTCCTAATGAGGCGGCTAAGTTTTTACCTTATATAGATTTTGACCAACAAAAACTCCAGAGAAGTGTTTCTGCATTTATGGATGTTAATATAAATGCCATAATTTCTTTTTTCTGTTTGACCATGGATTTTTTTTTTTATTTTTTTTTTTTGAGTTTGAAATGGGTTTAGGATATGATTCTTATTTTCATTGAAGCATGACATCTGTTTCAAAATGGTTTCCCAAGTGCCAAGAGGCCAGTTGGACAAAATACCCGGTTTTAAATATGATTACTTGAGATTTATTATTAGAATTTTGCTTGGTTAATATGATCTACATTCCAAAAAATTCTGTTTGTGACGGAATTATGTTTTTCTGTTTTCATATCTAGCTTTCTGATTGGTCCTTTTTTGCTAGTTGATATGCTGCTTAGCTCTCAGTTGTAAAACCCGGTAAAAAAAAAAAGTATTATTATTATTAAAAATATTAATTTAAGGGGTAAAATAATAATTAATGGTTAAATTATAGATCAAAAATATAAATTTTAAAAAAAATAAAGTTATACTATATATATAAGTGGAAGACAAAGTCTTCCACTTTTCTTCTTGCAGTGCGTTGTCGACAGAGTGAGATAGAGAAATGTGAGTATTATTTTTTTATTTTTTATTTTTTTCGTTCTCAGATTTACGAAGATTGACCCGTTTTATCGCTTCGGACCAAGAATTAAAGTTGTTCTACTCTGCGAGAGCTACGCCATTATATCAAATATTGTATTTTTCTTTGAAAGAATATTAAAGACGATAATCTATGCCTAAAGTTTGAAAAGTTAAATTGGGCTTTCTCGGAGTTTCAGTACGTGGGCTCACATTACGAGAGGTAGGGTTTCCCTTATTTAGATTTACTTTCAACCTAAAATATGACATATGAAATGGGTAGGTTATGAGTGTATATCACATGTTAGGTCTTGACTAGTGTAACTAGTGGGTCAAATATATGATTTATAATTAATTTTGTAATTAAAAAAATTCTATTATGATTAACTTTGTGTAAGTTAATGTTAGTGGTTTAAAATATGTTAATTGTACATTAGCATTATTTTATGTTTTAAATGACATATCAAGTTTAATGAAACTATTAGTTTGTTCTATGATTATGGAACAATATGTATGTTAAATGATTATTTAGTATATAATTATTGTGGTGGACTTGTGCTTATGTTTATAGAATTGATAAACATGTTGTCATGTTGAAAATGTTATTATATTATATTCTTTACGTAATGAACATTGTAAATGGTACCAAAGGTAATTACACATTGAAATGTTCTTATGCATGAGTTACATTATATTCATGGGCATTGACATGAGTGGGAGTGTGTGCATGGGATGAAATCAATCACCGCATAGGTGGTTGATTGTGGGCTCGAAAAAGTCGCACCAAAGTTCAGCTGAGTCACACGAAAAATTAAATGGATAAATGTGTCGGGGATAGCAAGAAGGATTAGATTCTCCCTCGGGTGCAAGACCCGCTTACTTGATTTATACACTTTTCAGCGGTGAAATTCCAGAAATGTGTAACGGCTAAAATGGAGTCGCAGGTGAGATGTCCTGAGAATCCGTTTTATGGTTGGTGTGTAACGCCCCGATTTTTCTATTCTTTTCGGAGACGTTAATTGATATAAAAAAGATCCAAATAAAAATAATAGAGCGCTAATTGTCCCAATAAAATTTCATTTATCAAAATCATCTTCCAATACAAATAAATTTGTCACCATAAATAAATCTCTCAATACAAATAAACATCAATTATGTTATCTCATCGTCTTTAATACTCTGATTATCTCATTCCGATCTTTTCTCTAAAATTAACCTGTAAATATTAAATAAAGTGGGGAAGTATACAGTATATCAAGGAAAAATATGCTCAAGGACATTGAATAACAAATAATCGAATATCACAAAGTATCTCATTCAACAGATACAAAATATCAAATTTGCATATAACACGTCATGCAGAATCTTAACACAAATCTAACACCTCACCAATCATCCCATCTTAACCCGATCCCACGAGTCTCTAGACTGGCGATGCATCGGCTATTGGCTGCCACGATCCCGTCTCAATATCCACAAAACATGATCAATGATATTAAGAACATGATCAATGAGATCAAAATATTCAACGATATTCAATCGAAATTCTAAAATAGCGATAGTACTAGTTAGAATACAAATCAGATGATAAATCAAGAAATACTCTTTGTAAAGAGATTTAAAGAGAGCATATTGCATATTACCCCGTACCTCAGAATCATTATGTGAATTCGATAACTTTGATTTCTGTTNTAGTTGGAATACAAATCAGATGATAAATCAAAAAATACTCTTTGCAAAGAGATTTAAAGAGAGCATATTGCATATTACCCCGTACCTCAGAATCATTATGTGAATTTGATAACTTTGATTTCTGTTTCATGTTTCTTCCTCTCGGTTTGAACTAAAAGCACCCCACCAAAATTTGTTTTCTCGCTCCCTCTCTTCCACCTTTGCTCTCGGCTTAACACACACAAACACATATATTTTTCTTCCCTTTCTTTTATTCTCCTTCACTTATAATTTCAACAAACCAGTACACACACATTTTTCTACAATGTATTCAATGTTAACTACCATTAATTTATTCCATGAATTTCTTTATTCTCTCTCTCTCTTTCTTTTTCTTTACCTTGTCTTGTCTCTTTTATTTTTTTTTCCAAAGTGTTCACGTGGGTGAAGACCAAAGNGCGATAGTACTAGTTAGAATACAAATCAGATGATAAATCAAGAAATACTCTTTGTAAAGAGATTTAAAGAGAGCATATTGCATATTACCCCGTACCTCAGAATCATTATGTGAATTCGATAACTTTGATTTCTGTTTCATGTTTCTTCCTCTCGGTTTGAACTAAAAGCACCCCACCAAAATTTGTTTTCTCGCTCCCTCTCTTCCACCTTTGCTCTCGGCTTAACACACACAAACACATATATTTTTCTTCCCTTTCTTTTATTCTCTTTCACTCATAATTTCAACAAACCAGTACACACACATTTTTCTACAACGTATTCAATGTTAACTACCATTAATTTATTCCATGAATTTCTTTATTCTTTCTCTCTCTTTCTTTTTCTTTATCTTGTCTTGTCTCTTTTATTTTTTTTTCCAAAGTGTTCACGTGGGTGAAGACCAAAGAAACATAAAAGTTGAAATATTTATGTTTTACTCCCCTTTGTTTCACTTATTATATATATCAACCACAAAACTTAAATATTCCTTATTCTATCACATCAAAACTCATAATATTTTATACTTAACTACCTTTAAAAATTTGGGATCTCACATGTTGTCCCATTGGTGTAATACCATAAATCATCTCCTCACAAAGACACAAGAAAATAAATTAATTAGTCATCGAGTGTATATAACACTAATGACGGGGCTTGGAATGCTCGGATAGATATGCATGACATTACATGTGTTATAAGAGCTCAAGATGGAGCTTAGTGTTAGTATTGTGTTCGTGAGTCTCATCTTATAACATGACATGATTTATGACATTTGTTCATAATAGACATATTTGAATGATTGCATGAAATGATTGTTGAATGTGATATTTCATATACAATTAGGTTGAGAGGTATTCTATATAGGAGTTACCCTATTGAGCGTTGACTCACCCTTTATGAAAACATTTTTCAGGTATTGCACAAGCGTCCACCGAAGACGAGGCCATAGGCCAGCTTTGATGACAGAACCGATCTGTGGCTCTTTTTTTGACATCGTAGTCCCTTGTTTATAATTATTTTTGGCCTTGTGTAATTTTTGTAACAAAAAACTTATTTATATTTAAAAGACATGTATAAGAGACTCTNCTTGGAATGCTCGGATAGATATGCATGACATTACATGTGTTATAAGAGCTCAAGATGGAGCTCAGTATTGGTATTGTGTTCGTGAGTCTCATCTCATAACATGACATGATTTATGACATTTGTTCATAATAGACATATTTGAATGATTGCATGAAATGATTGTTGAATGTGATATTTCATATACAATTAGGTTGAGAGGTATTCTATATAGGAGTTACCCTATTGAGCGTTGACTCACCCTTTATGAAAACATTTTTCAGGTATTGCACAAGCGTCCACCGAAGACGAGGCCATAGGCCAGCTTTGATGACAGAACCGATCTGTGGCTCTTTTTTTGACATCGTAGTCCCTTGTTTATAATTATTTTTGGCCTTGTGTAATTTTTGTAACAAAAAACTTATTTATATTTAAAAGACATGTATAAGAGACTCTTTTGAAACATTTATTCTTTTATGAATAAATGTACGTAATGATGATAATTATGGTAGTATTCGATACTATACAATTGTGAATGGATGAATAGATTCAGTGTGATCAATATTGTACAGGTTGTGTATTGAGTAGAGCTCATCATATAAAAGAGACTCTGTCCAAATTTTATTCAGTTATGAATCTCGATAAATAGGACATAACGATGTGGTATCAAATTACATAATATCCATGGGTTGATTACAGACGCAANGCATTTCATATACAATTAGGTTGAGAGATATTCTATATAGAAGTTACCCTATTGAGCGTTGACTCACCCTTTATGGAAACATTTTTCAGGTATTGCACAAGCGTCCACCGAAGACGAGACCATAGGCCCGCTTTGATGACAGAACCGATCTGTGGCTCTTTTTTTGACATCGTAGTCCCTTGTTTATAATTATTTTTGGCCTTGTGTAATTTTTGTAACAAAAAACTTATTTATATTTAAAAGACATGTATAAGAGACTCTTTTGAAACATTTATTCTTTTATGAATAAATGTACGTAATGATGATAATTATGGTAGTATTCGATACTATACAATTGTGAATGGATGAATAGATTCAGTGTGATCAATATTGTACAGGTTGTGTTTTGGGNGATAGATTCGGTGTGATCAATATTGTACAGGTTGTGTTTTGGGTAGAGCTCATCATATAAAAGAGACTCTGTCCAAATTTTATTCAGTTATGAATCTCGATAAATGGGACATAACGATGTGGTATCAAATTACATAATATCCATGGGTTGATTACAGACGCAAGGATTTTGGGTGTCACACTCGTCCCATTGATTCTTCTTTTTGTCTGCATCTGCAAATCAAAGGATTTACTGGTTCTTTTCATTGTTTTTGGGTTTCCATTTTTTGTATTTCATTCATCCTCTAGCTTTCAAAAATGGCAAATGTCTATCATCGTTGCGCATCTTGGGTAACAAGGGCACAGATGCTTGTGTTAGCCTGCTTATTACAAAAGGATCATTAAGGCAAAAATGAAGAAGCATACCGTCACCTAAACGGTAAAATATATATGAAGGGTGATGGAAAATGCCGTTCCATTGCTCCTTAAGTTTTAACTCTCATATGTAACAGGAAATAACTCTCAGCTGCGCAACATTGTACTGTATATCGGAATGCCGAGTTGTAGTTTGATGATGAGGGCTTTTTCTCTCTAAACTCTAAAGCCATGACCACTTTTTCCTCCTTTTTTTGCTAGTTTCAGTGGGAAATAGTTCTTTGAAGCTAATTTTATATGAACAGATGGTTTACTGCAATGGACCGGTAATTTATTTGTCTGGTCATGGTGGTTTGAATAAATAAACATAACCATATAAACCTCTAATTTATCTCCTCTGACTTTCGGAACATTTGTTGTCAAAATAAACGAATTTTGAAGCTAATTACTTTGTGAGGTCTACTTTAATGCTGCATTGTTGCTGATGAGGTTCACACACAGAATTCTTTTGTGATTATTTGGACTTCACAGACGACCTCCAGGCGCCTTGCCGATAGAAAAATTGCAAAGTTTGAGAAGAGCATCACCAGGAGAGGATTGGGTCCTCCTGACGCGACCAACAAAGAACAGCAAAGTGGTTACATTATCTTCCTGTTTCTGGTTGTCGTATCGTGTATGTTATACCTTGCTTACGGCCTTAATATTTAGTGCAATAATAAGCTTGTTCATTAGGGGGTCCTACATTTTATCAATTGAGCAAGGAGTCGGATAACTATGAATACGCAAATGGTAGTGTGTATGTCCAAATCTTACCTATTNAAAAAAAATAAAGTTATACTATATATATAAGTGGAAGACAAAGTCTTCCACTTTTCTTCTTGCAGTGCGTTGTCGACAGAGTGAGATAGAGAAATGTGAGTATTATTTTTTTTATTTTTTATTTTTTTCATTCTCAGGTTTACGAAGATTGGCCCGTTTTATCGCTTCGGACCAAGAATTAAAGTTGTTCTACTCTGCGAGAGCTACGCCTCCATATCAAATATTGTATTTTTCTTTGAAAGAATATTAAAGACGATAATCTATGCTTAAAGTTTGAGAAGTTAAATTGGGCTTTCTCGGAGTTTCAGTACGTGGGCTCACGCTACGAGAGGTAGGGTTTCCCTTATTTAGATTTACNCGATAATCAGGATGGCGCTTACAGTGGGTTAGCCCAAGGGAATCGAGAAGGGGGATTGGTTTAGAACCGCGATCTCTCATTAACAACATTGACAGTGAAATTGAGAAATCTTGATTAATCAATCAAAACTGCATAATCCCCTTCCTTGATCTGCTGTGATTGTGCTCCCNAGATAATCAGGATGGCGCTTACAGTGGGTTAGCCCAAGGGAATCGAGAAGGGGGATTGGTTTAGAACCGTGATCTCTCATTAACAACATTGACAGTGAAATTGAGAAATCTTGATTAATCAATCAAAACTGCATAATCCCCTTCCTTGATCTGCTGTGATTGTGCTCCCTTTTATTTTCTGCTAGCTTTTTCCTTGGTGAGTTGAGCAAGAATGGTGCTTCATCTAACAGACTAACAGAAAATATTATTGCCTCCCCATTTGTGTGGTTTACCGTCTGATACTTGTGCTGGACACCAGATTGTGAAGCCTTTGTTCTCTGATATAGGTTGTATCTTGTAACAGAAAATATCTGCACAATCAACTGGCTAGTAAGTTTGGTATCAGCTCATTAGCTGCTCCTACAAGAAATTGATAACAACAAGTGCCTTTTTTTTTTTGTTAACGAATATCATCAAGGACGTCTGCTCCTTCTGTACAATAGAATTACTTACAAATCGTGCATATCTTGCTAAATAATGGGCAACAACCCTATTCNCTGCACAATCAACTGGCTAGTAAGTTTGGTATCAGCTCATTAGCTGCTCCTACAAGAAATTGAAAACAACAAGTGCCTTTTTTTTTTGTTAACGAATATCATCAAGGACGTCTGCTCCTTCTGTACATAGAATTACTTACAAATCGTGCATATCTTGCTAAATAATGGGCAACAACCCTATTCAGCATTCTACATATATTTGCCACTTGGAAATATTTGGCAGTCTCTGCCCCACTTTTGATGTCAGTGAAGTGCAAGGCATTATGCCAAAGCCTTGTCCAAGTCTGATTACTATTGCTTAAGGAAGGGAAAATTTTAAATGTTCTGATCTTTTGCAGTTGGCTCTTCCCTCATCTTTTTTCATTTTAACTGTCCATCCCTAAACTCGATGTTTTCTCCTGCCAAAAGGGGGAAATCAATGCGTTGATGACTCCCAAATTTGACATGCTAATTGATTCCCTTCTTCATATCTGCATTTTTTGTCCAACTAAATGGCAGTCAATGTGAAAACTTAGATGCTGCTATAAGTGATTCTCAAGAATCTGTTCACACTCAGCAATGGAAGTTTGAGGGAGAACTCATAACTCTTGAATGTTAAGCTTAAATGGCCGCTTTTAAAGATGAACATTCTTCTTGTTGTAAGATCCAATTTCAAACAACTGAGCAATATATAAAACTAGCAAGTACAGGAGAACAAAGAAAAAAGAAAAATGGTATAGCACAGCTCAGTTTCCCTCCTCACTATCCAATTTTACCCGAAACATCAATGCGGGACACTTTAAGCATAGAAAATACATGCCATAATTTAACCTTTTTGTTACATATTAGAAATGATAACTCAATTTTTCCGACCATGTCGATCCTGAACCATCTTCGGAGTGCATAAGACTCGTCTTTTCAATTTATTTGACTTGATGGAACGGACCATCTGGCGCCAAATAATTCGAAAAGTTTAGGGTGCATCTACTTGACATATGTGCATTCGCATTCATGTGATCTGCGTGTTGCTTGGGCTGAAATGCTACCAGAAGAGTGGGAACATTCGTGATAGTCTGAACTTCTCGACAACTTCCTGACATGGGAGTCAAAGCCAACCACATGGCACGTTGGCAAGTTGTTTTTAGACCACCTTTCATCATGTGGGGAATCATAGCCCATCGCTTCAAATTCCTGCAAGATAGTCTTTAACTATGTAATACTATGCTACACACGTCAGGTGAAAGTGGATAGGATGTCGGAGTTCTGAATGTGGGGAGTAAACTAAATATCTCATAACTCCTGAAAGGGAGTATGTACACTTACTTTGGACTTTGTATTGGCATAATATGGAGTTAGACATGGATTTAAATCCTTGAGGAACATGTCATCCGGACTGCCAGGGGTTGTGTGATCCCCCGAGCTGAACTCCTGAATAAGTTGTCGGACATATCATAAGTAAATCACCTACTCGAGCATTCATAACACAAAGATACCCTCAAGTTTGTCTTGAAAGGAGGAAAAAATTAAAAATAAAAATAAAAAAGAAAGACAAAGGAACACCTGCCTAAAGAATGGATTTTGTCAGGACAAGTACATTTCCTAAAGTTGCAGTATACTTCAAAAAGCCATGAGAAATTGATACCAAGCACTATTCAGTGAGAAAAATATAGAACACGCCCCTACGAATGCTATTTAATGAATGAACCTTTGGACTTGATTTCTACAGCAGATGTTTCTTGTTGTTTCTTCGTTTGACTTGTGTTCCCCAGAATTTGTCACACTAATGTTTCTTGCAAGAAATAGAAATAGCAGCAACACTAACACTAGAAATATCCAATTGAAATTCACTGGGTAATCTTGCTTAAAAAATTTATAATTTGATATGATGTGATTACCAGAGAATTAGCTGCCTCCTCTTGATCAAATGCTGGTGTCCTTGGGGAGCTGGCATGACCATTATAGCACCCTCCCATTGAATATTTTTCTGCCTTCACCTGTCCAAGAATTTAGTTTCCCAGCTGTTCAGTTTCAAACAAATGTAAAACCTCTACAACTTCTAAGCGTGCATAATTAAAACACTAAACTAGCTTTTGGTTTAAGATAAGAACTCAGAAAAATCAGACCATAGTGGTCTTCTTCATTGTTGTGCTCACCACCAAGTAATGCTACTTATTCCATTATGTTGCATATTTTTATCCCTGAAAACTGGCTATAAGACTCCCATGGTTTAATATACTTGGAGGTTGGTAGCTTCGGAAATGCAGTGATGACAGTAATGTAAGTGACATGATAGTGTTAGATGAATAATCCACCATCAGTGGACATTAATTTATCTATTGTTTAAGCATTATATTAGACATACTAAAGTACTACCTCTGCAAGATCCTCAGCAAGGTACTGAAGTTGGCTGGTAAGAGAAGTGACCTGCCTATGGAGACTTGGAATGAGCTGCTTGGCCTGCTTTAGTTCCAAACCCTGCTTCTCCAAAAGCTCATGAAGTTGTGAATTCATAACATCTGGTAACAGTATGGCACCCTTCAATGCCTTTATCTCTTCTCTTTGCTTCAAACATAAATCCTTCAGCTTGTCAACCTGCACAATCGAGCAGCAAATACCTAATCACCGACAATGACACTACAGAAAAAGCTATCATTCTTCAACCGAAGAAAATACATCAAATTGTTCCATCCAACATACACATTTGTGTATATATGGATAGAGCTGATCAATTCAGAACTCTATAATTGGTTTTCACTTTCAAAAATTTCAAAGATCTCAAATTTGTAACAATTCAGAACATCCAAATTTTATAACAAAAGAGCCACAAATTTCAGGGCGGCTTTTTTTTCCTTTCATGAATTACATAACGTTTCTTGTTACACAAAAGCAAACGCAAAGGCGTACTGTTCTTTTCCATCAACAACTTCCAAAACAACTCAAAATTTCAATCTTTCGACTGAATTGCCAATGTATCCAACAGTAAAATTCAATTTTACAGGCAATGCAAGTAGTCATTACGATCAAGCAAATTCGAAGGCTACACAAGCCATCATCTAATCACCCTACGAAGTTAATAACAACCCAAAGCTTTCATAATTGACACAGTCCACTAACTGCAATCATAAATTAAATAGATATATGTCCTACTCCTACCTCTGTGCTTTTCTCCTCGAGCGTCAGCTTGAGCCGGGTGATTTCCACCTCCTTCTCCTTATTTAAACTCAAAAGCTCCCTCTCACTCCTCAAGACCATCGCCAAAGTCCTCGTATTGGGCTTCACTTCCGTTAAAGCCTTCTTCTCAGTCTCATCCTTGTTGGACCCCAAATTCTTACTAAACAACTTCCTATGCAACCCCGTAAAATTGGTCCCCTTCCTCGCTGTTTTCTTCAAATCCTCCCCTATGAAATTCGTCGGTATAACTAAATTGGTCGCTGTTTTTGTTGACTTGGTTGTTGACCTCTTCTCCATAAACTTCTTCACCATTGCAGTCAAATTCTGATCGTTCTTGATCGTTTTTGTTCGAGCTATGTCTAAGGATTTGGCCTTGACGAGAGCACGTGAGGAGGAAGTGGGGTCACGAGATTGGAAGGCTTTGAGCTCGGTGGATGAGGATGGATCTGATTTATGGGACTGGGTGGAAGATCGCGAGTCAAAGGAGGTGTACCTGGAAGATGATAATGATGATGATGCCTTGATTGAAGAAGCCATGTTTGTGTCGGAACGATTAACGTATGAATTGCGGATAGAAATATGGAGAAATTTCAGAGTTTTGTTCTTCGGTCTGTACAATGTAATGCCCCAAGAGAAAGAGAGAGAGAGAGGGAGAGTGGTACTACGACTGTGTCTCTGATAATGGCGCTGTCTGAATTCAAATTTTCACGTGAGAAGCGCCCGATGGTGTGGCAGGGGAAATAATACGACGCCGTTTAACTTGTTTGTAATTTACCAGTTTTGTGTTTGGTCAGGCTTTACTGATTCAGCATCGCATCATCCACTGATCACCAAAACTTTTTCCGGATTCCATATGACAAATGATGAGTATTGTTCTCTGCATGTTTTTTTGTCTTGTTTGTTTTATGATCTTCTGCTTCATGTGATTCTGATGTTCATTGCCAAGTTTAACGTAAATCTGCCATGATTGATTACTTATTGTACCAATGATGCAATGGATAACTGTTTTCTTAATATGAGCGACAACTCATTTTAATGAATCAGTTGAGATGGACGCAGTGAATTCGAATGACAACAAATTGTGCATACGATTGTCCATTATTTAAGGACAAACCACCTAAGTCAAAAACAATGAAGCCAGCACTTTGGCTTGGTTTCAGAAGCGTCAGGAGTCATTTGGGAGGTCAAATATTTTCATCTCATTGCTATCGAACACTCTGTTTTCCAAGTTTTCAGTGTATTAACAGCAATGATTGTCCTTCCAAACAAGCACAAGGACTGAATAAAAAATGCAGTTCATCAGAAGGAAAGGAAAAGAAAAGAAAAATTCTAGATATGTAAAACATTCTCCATTATGTCAAGATGNTCAATGATTGTCCTTCCAAACAAGCACAAGGACTGAATAAAAAATGCAGTTCATCAGAAGGAAAAGAAAAGAAAAATTCTAGATATGTAAAACATTCTCCATTATGTCAAGATGTAGAAGAACATCTTTCTTTGGAACAGGGTAACTATAACTGCAAAACTGAAATAGCACTAATCAACTGGACAATATACTACAATGTAATGGAACTTGGTAAACCAGGTATGTTGTTTTACAAAGGTCTATCGATCCTTTACTGCAATGATTCTAGCCGGGTTTCCAACGGCAGTGGCCTTAGGAGGAACTTCCTTTAAAACAACTGACCCTGCACCAATCTTAGCACCTTCTCCGATTTTAATATTGCCCAAAATTTTAGTCCCTGCTCCTATTTGAACCCCATCACCAATCTTAGGGTGCCTGTCCCCAGAAACCTTCCCTGTACCTCCTAAGGTCACACTATGCAGAATTGAGACATTGTCACCAATCACTGCCGTTTCTCCTATCACAATTCCAGTGGCATGATCGAGCAATATTCCCCGTCCAATCTTCGCTCCTGGATGGATGTCCACTGCAAAAACTTCTGAAACTCGATTCTGAATTAAGAGGGCCATGACAGTCCTACCCTGTAACCAAAAATTATGGGCCATCCTATGGGCTTGGCATGCTAGGAAGCCCTTGAAATTTAGAAAGCAATGGACATAACTAATCCAAGCTGGATCACGCTCTTTCACAGCTTTGAGATCATCTCTGATGGCAACCCTGATGCTACTATCTTTGCTGAGCAGTTGAAAGAAAATTTCATAAAGGGTATCAGTAGGAAGACTTGAATTGCTCAATTTGATTGCCAATTGATTTGCTAGAGCACTTTCTACTGAACAGTGAGACAATATTGAGGAATAGAAGTACTTTGACAAGATGGGCTCTTGCTCTATGGAGGACAGGGCTTCTTCTTGAATTTTCAGCCATATGTAATCTTCATCGCACTCATGTGGGACGATTTTTGTAGAACTCTTGCTTTTCTGATAAACCAAGTTGCATGAACTAAGCTTGAAGACAGTGGGTCTGCAGAATTTAATCAGCCTGCATAAAGAATTATTGTTTTGGACAGGTCGGAAATCAGCAGAACAAGGACAAATGGTTGCAGTTTGGTTCCTTGAATCATCTAAGCAGGCAGCCATTGATTTTGGAATTCCCTTGGAAATGAAAAGGGTGGATTACACAGAGAGAGAGAGAGAGAGAGATTAGAAGTTTTCAGTTGTGGTGGTGGCATTGGCAGCTGAGGTCTGTTTATATAGTTGGTGAGGAAGGGGAAGGACTGTGACCGAAATTTCATTGAATTGAACTGACTTAGGTGTCTGCCACTTGATGAAATTTAATAACTTATAATGATTAAATTAATGGTATATAGTTTTTCAACATTATGTATTGGCTGACATATACCCCAAGCACATCACTTGGGAGAGAGGGAGGAATGACGTTTGGCATGACGATTTTTCCTTTCCTTGTAGAACCGACGAATTTAAGGCCATAAAAATTAATAAGAAAATAATAAATTGGTGTTGACCAAGGTCTGTTGCTAGCTAGACCCACCCAGTTCTTGGACAACACTTCACTCTACTCCATCCATACTCAAAGAAGAAGTGACCATGAAAGATAGCTGCCCAGAGGAAGGAAAAACTTAATACAATCAAGAAGATAAGCTATACGTACAGTAATACGAATAAAATGTCAAAATATATTTATTAACATATGCTTTCTTTTTTTTGCATAAATACATCTAAAATATTAATTAGAATTTTATAGAAAACAAACCAATTCAAAAAGTAGTGGGCCTAATGGCCCATTTATTGGGCCAGGGCTAAAGGCCATGGGTAGATTGGGCCATGGCAAGTTGGCCCAGGCCCAGTCCGGGTTGGTCCATGCTCACACCAATCAGCACTATCAATGGCTGGCTTGCTCCAAGGTTGTTAAAGCTAAGCAACCATTTTTAATCAGGAAAAGAGACAGCATCTTGCAGTCTATCTTTGAAATATCAGTACACAGTCGTAATGTTGAACCCAACCAGAATCTATGAAACGGTTTTTTAATGAATGTGACTAATGACAACATAATCAATGATGAAATTGATGGCCTATGTTAGCATTACAAACATGACAGGAACATTCTTAAAACAAGTAACTGTTGGGAAAATAGGTTTTCCCACAAGTATAAATCAATGGAAGCAATATAAATAAAATAACAGANGTAACTGTTGGGAAAATAGGTTTTCCCACAAGTATAAATCGATGGAAGCAATATAAATAAAATAACAGAAAATAAATAAGCACACAAGATTTACGTGGTTCCCTCAAATAACTTGAGGTACATCCACGACGACCGGTAGGTCAGTTTCTTCCACTATCACCAAATCAGATTACAAAGTGGCCAAAAGGCATAAGCCTTACAAACACACCAAGGTGTAAATCACAAGAGGAAAATACCTCACAAAATAAGTGAACCAAATCTCCAAGAACAAACCGCAAGAAACCCAAATATCAAGTGAATAAATGTTACCCACTTGAAGAACAAATTTGCAGATTTTTCTGGCACCAAAAAAGGAGAAGAAGAAGGCTGAATTTTTGTTGAACCAAAGACTGCCAAAATATGTCTTCTTGCCTAACCAACCGAGAAAAGATGAACCAAAGAAAAAGACAAAACTTATAGTCTTTTGTGGCTGTCAAATTCCTTTTTAACTAGAAGACTCCAAACCAAGTCTTGGATAAGAGTCCTACACGGGTAAGCCACCAAAAAATTAGCAAATTGATGAGTCCCACAAAGGAGGGAAACCCAACAANAAATTCCTTTTTAACTAGAAGACTCCAAACCAAGTCTTGGATAAGAGTCCTACACGGGTAAGCCACCAAAAAATTAGCAAATTGATGAGTCCCACTAAGGAGGGAAACCCAACAGCAACCACAAATACTGTAAGAATCCTGCTGCTGGCATACTCAATTTAAAGTTTCGTATGAGATTAAGTTTGCTTAGAGGTGGGTTCAGTTCATAATCATAGATCTTGCTTAAGCTTCACCCACCTTTATGACTTGGCTCTACCTTAATGGCGCGGATAGGCATGCTTGGCTTTGAGCTGGTTTGTTCATCCTGGGTGTACTTTTGTGTTAGGGACCTTAGGGTACCCAAAAGACACCGGATTAATGGAGGAGAACAATAGTGTAGAACATGCCATTGGCAAACGTGTACGATTAGGAATTGTCAACAGCTTGCAGGTTTCAAATGATGGATTTAGTCAGGTGGAAAATCCTGTGTAGAAGTACTCGTCAGGGTGGTTCCAAATGCCTCTTCATTACCAGCGTTGCAAAAAGGAAGGCTATGAGAAGATGAAGGAGTTGAAAGTCGAGGTGTTTTTCCAGCAATATGGGCTGAATATAAAGGGTACCTTGGCTGAGAAGAGGGCATACGCTATGGGGGTATTCATTCTTATGGCCTGATCAACTTTAATTCCTTTTAAATACTCCAAACTATGTCTCATGGCATAATGCCTGTTACTTTCTCTTTCAGAAGAGGAGCCTGCAGGCCTCATGGCGTCAAGTTTACGTCATTGTGTTTGTATTTGCAATAAATTAAATTACCGTGATTCATTATGAGCAGCTTGATGCCATATAGTTTTAGCCAAGTTGTGCACTTGAATTAGGATATTGGTATGTATTTTCTTCTTATTGCTTCGTTTATAACAAATATCAATGTGTGCATTGGTACTACACACTGTGATTGAATTCTCCGAAATCAAAGTGAAAGTTGGGATGACTTTCCTTTGGATATTTCGTTAGTCGGTGCTTTTTTCCCCCATTCTCTTCTTTCTGTCAGTAACCATGTTATTTTTCTTCAAAGCCTCTCTCTCTCCTTGCGATGTGTGTCTCAACGATTTTTGAAATGTTGACTTCCCAGGATAGAGTACCCTTTTGGTGCTGACTTCCTCATTCTTCCATGAAGACAAAGCTTCGATCCAATTCTTCTTTTTTAGGCGCTACAGCTCCTCTCCAATCAATCTTCATCCAACCCTCTAATTAGACGGCCAATTAAAACAGGAACCAAGCAAAACAATTGCGACATTAGATTAGACTTGACACTCGATATACGCCATGTTCTGCTTCTTATGTCTACTACCATACACTCCTTCAGGTGAACGAAACAGATCGAAATGACATAATTCAAGTATTGATTGTCCTTAATTTACAATTTACTCGGTCTTGACTACCCTTAATACTACTAAGCAAGAATTTATCAAGTTAATCTTAACAAAAGACAAAACTTAATTTCTTACATCTCCTTATACCATTCAACAAGTCAAGATGTCAATCCTAACCAAATAAAAGTTTGATTTTTGATATCCCATATGTTCCTTTTTAAAGATTTTTCTAAGTTCATTGCTATTTATTACTGACGCATTATTCAAAAATTGTAATAGTTAAGGATTAATTCTAATGATAATCTATGGGCAAGTATGAAAAAAAAAACAACCTTGATTGCATACTAAATGAATTCAACAAAAAAAAAATACCCTAAACAAAGCCGCCGCCGCCACCACCACCACCACCACCAAAAATGATTGTGCAGATAGTCCCATAGCATGACCCTTTCAAGNACAAGTATGAAAAAAAAAACAACCTTGATTGCATACTAAATGAATTCAACAAAAAAAAAATACCCTAAACAAAGCTGCCGCTGCCACCACCACCACCAAAAATGATTGTGCAGATAGTCCCATAGCATGACCCTTTCAAGTAGACCGAGGGCATTATTGTAATACCACTCAGAGAACCAAATAATTTAAACAGCTTGGAAGCCTGTATATAAAGATCTCATGTGCACCCTCACCAAGCCAGTCCAAGTTCCCCAAAACACACAACCCTTTCAAGCTCAACTTTCCTCTTCCATAAGAACTACTTCACCTATTGGTTACATAGCCTACATCACAAGATTAGCAAAGATGGATCAAAACGAGCAGCAGCAGATGCTTCAATCTCCCACCAAATCTCACAAGTACTATCAGTTCCTCAAGAAGACATTGCAGTTCTTAGTTCCTGTTTCTATTTTATCTTTCCTTCTTTCTTACACCTCAAGTTTTCCTTTCCTTTTCGCCTACAATTTTCATATCTCAACTTCAGTGTTCCCACTCTTCACACGCACTATCGAGAGAAAGTACATGTTCATCCTTTGTAATGGAATTCTCGCTTTTCTTTCCAAAAACTCGAGCTTTAGCTGCTTTGACAATAATGGTGGATACGTGAAGGGTGCCGAGGACGATGTGAAGCCCGCAAATGAACTATCTGAAATGAAGAATGTACCGGCGCTTGAAGATAACGAAGCCGCCATGGAAAGTATTACTGCATCTCCAGTACACCCTGCGATTGCAGAAAAAGAAGAAGAAAACGAGCCATTGAATTCACAAGTAAAAGAAAGAGAATCTGGAGCTTTGATTGTAGAAGGTGAGGAAGATGAGGGAGAAGCAGAAGATGATGAATCAGAAGAAAGTGGGCCTTTGGTTGTAGCATCGCCGGTGAAAGAAGGAAATGACGTGAATGTGAATATAGATGAATTGAACAAGAAGTTTGAAGAGTTTATAAGGAAGATGAAAGAAGAAATCAGGATTGAAGCTCAACAACAACTCATTGCAGTTTAGCAAAATACTTGAGAGAATAACAATAAGCTTCACGAGTTCAGTCTCTTTTTATGTTGTTTCTTGTACATGATGGGTTCTGTTCTACCCCTTCTCTTTCAGTAATTAGACAAAAATTTTCCTTTGTACCAAAACTTCAGCCTTGTGATGTGGATGATGGTGGTCTTGACTGCTCTCCAATTTCCACAAAAAATAAGCAGACTTCTAAATTAAATAATTTTCGGCTTTGTGAAAAATTGGGGGGTAAAAAAAAAATTGTTTCATGTACAGGTTGGCTAGCTGATGTCTGGTCTGATGGTTGTTGAAAATACTAGAAAAGGAACAAGCTACGTACACACATTAGACAATAGTTTAGTATTACTAAATCATAATAGGAGCCAGACTAATTGTCACACTTAGCTTGAAAGTATCTTAATATTGTGTCGATTTCAAGGTATATAAACTTTAGAGTTTTTCTTTCTTTCTTTCAAACGATACTTCTTTACTCTGAATTTTTCTGAAATTGCACCACAGGTGCTCAACTGAAGCCAGGAACTGCAACAAAAGAGGACTCAGATATTGATTCCGACGAACAATACCGGCCGGGGAATAAAATCTTGTAGTCATGTTGTATTATAGTTATTCCATTAGAAAAGTGACAATACTAAATGACCGAAACTTTCTACGAGCTACCATATACCTGCATCCAAACACACCCAATGACTCCACACATTCAATCCAATGGTGGGGACTGACGGGCCGACGGCCAGATATCCAACTGGGTCCAGCTCATTGATATTTCATCCACAAATTGACATGGGTCCGCCCAACTGATTGAGGTACTGAGAGAAAATCATATACAGTTGCAGGTAAGGGTGGTCCTGCATATCAGATCCTTAAAAAATTAGTTCAAAACAACACATGATTTGAGGACTGATATTTTTATGACAAGGTTTGCCCTTTTGTCCACTATAACATTGCACAGTACCAAGAAAACCGACCCATTAAAGAGGTCCATACACGTATGTGGTTAAAAACGTGGGGCTTTCCTTGTCATGAGTTTGGTTTCCTTTTTTAATTGAACAGTGTAATAACACCACGGTAAGTTTTAAAGGGCCCCTCATTTGAATATTGCTCGACAAGAACAAATCAATAAAGATTAATACTCACCTGCTACTGCACATCTAGTTGTGGAGGGAGAAATCTAGAAGGGCCTCAGAGTGGAAGGTGACGAACCTAAATTCAGGTTAGGCTTGGACTCAGTTCATAAGTTGGGTCTAAATTATTAAAAAGCAGATTAGACTTAACTCGTGAACTTAGTCCAATCCAAAGCTCAAGAGTCAAAGAAGAATCAACACACATGAGAGAGCAATCATCGAAATAGCTATTATTCAAATATAGTACTTATTTCCAACTGTAGCTATCCTCCCCAAAGACTAGTAATGTGACCTTCATGTCACTGTCTCAGTTAGAGCTCTATAACTTATAAGTTGTAAACCCTCTACACATGATAGANAGAGAGCAATCATCGAAATAGCTATTATTCAAATATAGTACTTATTCCCAACTGTAGCTATCCTCCCCAAAGACTAGTAATGTGACCTTCATGTTACTGTCTCAGTTAGAGCTCTATAACTTATAAGTTGTAAACCCTCTACACATGATAGAGAGAGGGATCTCTCACACAGAGATCTCACATACCTCACATTGAGCATATTATTACTCTCTCTTTCTCTCACCCACTATCTTGTACTCTCATTAATAGAATTCTTCAGCCACCGTTGACATTTTTTAGTGGTTTGGTATCTAGACTCAACCACCCAATCTTTGTCTCTTATTATTAACTGTTTTATTAATAAGAAAAGTAAACACGTGCAAAATCTATTTCTTCACTAATTTATGGTTAATATTCAAATTTAGTGAGAAACAATAGTTTTTTGGAGAAATTTGGTGCCTAAACTGTTGCGGGCAGTTTGATTATGGTAGATCTCGAAAAAAATACCCGAATTAAAAAAAAATCACCTCAAACGGACAACTGACCGCAAAGTTATAATTGTTTAAAGTTGTGTCGTTTCTTTATGGATTTCTAATATAGCACCCAACACCAACGCCCAACAATGCCTGTACCCTGCGCCCATCGATGCTTGTGCTAGTGACGCTCTGTGCCTTGCACCCAACGATGCTTGTGCCCCACACCCAGAGATGCCCGCCCCCAATGAGTGTTAGTGGCGCCCGTACCCCAATAATGCCAGTGCCAGCGATGCCCATGCCACCGCCCAGCACCTGCGCCTAGTGGTGCCCAGCACTCGTACGCTTGTGCAACCTTGCCTTGGCGATTGTCTCCTCACTCGCCTTGGCGCACCACCCGTATCACGTGCCCAACTCGTACAACAGTGCCCTTGGTTCCCAATGTCACCCTTCTGGCACATCAGGCAACCGCGACACCCATGCTCCGTTGGCTCTATCCTTCCGGCTAGTTACCCTCACTGTCATCACCCTCCCCCTCTCTACCTCTTGGAAGATAGCCTTCCGAGTCGCCAAAAATTTGGCCTAACTCTACCTTTGCCACCACACAAGCAGTCTAAATCCCTAACTTAGTGGCTCTCTAGCTAGTCACCATAAGCTCGGCTTTACTCTGTCTCTATTCTTACGCAAGTAGCTTCAATCCCTAACTTAGTAGCTCTCTTGTAAGTCACCACAAGCTCGACCTAACTCTGCCTCTATTCTCACGCAAGCAACCTCAATCCCTAACTTAGCGGCTCTCTTGCGAGTCACCACAAGCTTGACCTAATTCTGCCTCTATTCTCATGCAAGCAGCCTATGTCTTCAACTTTGCGCCTCTCTTGCGAGTCACCAAAAGTTCGGCCTCACTCTACCCAGCTTAGCGCCTTACTCGCGAGTTACCACAAGCTTTGTCTAACTCTACCTCTATTCTCACGCAAGTAGCCTTACTCCCCAACTTAGCAGCTCTCTTACGAATTGTCAAAAGCTCAGTCTCGTTCTACCTCTACTCTCACGCAAGCGGCTTTGCTCCCTAACTTAGCAGCTCTCTCACGAGTTGCCAAAAGTTCGGTCTCGCTCTACCTTTGCTCTCATGCAAGTAGCCTCAATCCCCAGCTTAGTGACTTTCTTATGAGTCGCCAAAAGCTTAGACTCAATCTGCCTCTATTCTCACGCAAATAGGCTCAGTTTCTAGCTTAGCGATTTCCTCCCGAGTCGTCAAAAGCTTAGCCTTACTTTGTCTCTACTTTCACACAAGCAGCCTTACTCCCCAACTTAACAACTCTTTTATGAATTGCCAAAAGCTTTGTCTTGCTTTGCCTAACCCTGTCATAAGTCAACCTCAACTGCTCCTTAGCAACCTCATGCATCTATCTCTCTTCTGCCAAAGCTCTCAAAACCTTATTGAGTTTGAGTGCCCTTAAAAAAAGGCATGGAAAAGTCGCAACCATTTGCGAATATCCAAAAGGAAGAATGCCAATATGACCAAATCATACAAAAGACAAGGTTGTACAGAAAAGAAGGGTACTATACCAAAGCCCTAAATCGCGGTATCAATTATACTCTCACGACCCCGAGAGCCAACCTCTCTAATATTCGAGGGTGTCACAAACCTGCAAAGCCTCTTCTTGTTCAAATTTACATCCTACAGCATGAATACCAAGCTACTATTGGAAACAGGACAATAATGAAAAAATCTGGTCTTAGTGGAAGTCTACACAAGAGTCTTAATCTCTAAAGTAGTCCTAGGACTAACCCTAAGACTCAGAGGGGTCACATGCTGAGAAGAAGTAGGGACTCCATCAGACCCCACCTTCCAAGAAACAGTAGGGCCATCAAATCTCAAATGGAAAGCACTAGGGGCATCAGATCTCGCCCTGTTAGGAGGAGGGGAAGTCATCATCCTAGTGACATAGAGAGCCTATACCATTGATCTATCAACCACGGGACTACCTATGGCATCGCCCAGGTTCATCTTCATGGTGCCACCCAAGCTTCTCTCCCTTTTTAAGGCGCCACTTACCAAAACATCTTCATCTTCATCTTTCCGGGCAGAAACGTCCGTGTTGCTTTTCATCCTCTCTCTGCTGCTTGTGGAAGGAATAAAGTGAATGACACTACCCTAGTTTTAATCATGAAAGAGGGGTTTGAGAGACCCAACAGAGAAATTTGTTTGCTAGCACAATGGATCTCCAATAATGGTGCTACCAAATGGAGAAATAAGTTTCAAAAATGCAATGGAGTAGAAAGCTGAAGAAGTCACCGTGTGGAACAAGATACCTTGGTCTACCCAAATGAAATAGCTCACTTGTGCCCTCAACCCCCTATCACTACTAGGGCTTAGGGCATGAGAGGTAAATGACGAGCCCAAATTCAAACCAGGCCTAGGCCGAGTTCATGGGTTGAGCCTAAATCATCAAAAGACAGACCAGACTTAGCTCATGACCGTAGTCCAATTCAAAGCTTAAGAGTTCAAGAAGAGTCAATGCATGTGGGAGAACAATCATTGGAATCATTATTACTCCAAAATAGTGCTCATCCCCAACTATAACTATCCTCCCTGAAAGACTAGTAGTGTGACCTTCACGTCATTGTCTCAGTTAGGACTCTGTGCCTATAAATTGTAAGCCCTCTACACATGAGAGAGAGAGAGAGAGGGATCTCTCACACAGTTATTGCTCACATAGAGATCTCATATACCTTACCTTGAGCGTACTATTGCTCTTTCTGTCACCTACTACCTTGTACTCTTTTATTAAAAGAGTTCGTCGGCCACCGTTGTTGCTTTCAATTGGTAGGTCCTTAGGTCCAACCACCTAATTTTTGTTTCTTATTATTAATTATTTTATACCACACACTCGACTGATTGATTGTGCATAAATTCACTTTTGTGTATCATTAGAAGGCAAAGAGGGTAAGATTCTATTTGATAAAGAAAGCCAAGTGGAGATAACATACTTAAAAACTGTAAGTAATTTTTGTAGAGTTACTCACTAGAAACAAATATTTTATGGATGAACAAGAGATTGTGGTACCTATGAAAATAAAAGAATTTTGCAACCCTTTAGTTGGCAGATGAAGGAATGCAAATATGGTAAACACTATTTAGTATACGGAACCTTTCCCAACTACTTCTCAATTACACATTGGACCAACTGAAGATGCATAGTTCTTTAATGAATATAAGTAACTTTGTCATATCACAATGAATTGAATGCTAGAGAAGAGACGACAGTATGCAATGACCATCAAACATTAACTAGAGAAGAGATGACAGTGGATCAATATCAGCATGAAGATTGATGATACACAAAATATGTCTAATGTTGAGCTCGGGTA